CATAGTACAATTTAAGACATTATCATGCTTTTATAATTTCATTTTATGCTTATGTTTATTAAATGTTGTAATGTTAAATGGTTTTGTTGCACCAGGGTCTGAGAGGAATGTAATTTCAATCCTGTGTATGTCCTGTACTTATTGCGGTTTTTGACAATAAAATGACTTTGACTTTGACTTGGTCTGAAATGTTTAATATAACAACTGTAGATGAAATATAACAGATTTGGCTCACTATTTGACAACAAACTGGTCAGTTTTCTCTATGTCACCCTTGAGTAATGCATAATAAACACTTGTTAATGATTTATGAAGTGTTTATCAAGGAATTATTAACATATCTATAAACTATTTATTAGCATCTATAAGGGGAGCCTTATTGTAAAGTGATACCAATGTTATTTATACAAAGATGTCCTGAATTGTAGGAAAAATTGAAGGATCTCTGTAACTGAACAAAGTAAACTGTATAAGTCACCTCTATTGTTGGTTCTGATTGATGTTTAATATGTTTAAACACATTTCCTTTTTTCTCTTTTTCTTTTTTTTAATAAATCAACAATAAACCTCTTCTTTTGTATACAGTCTGTCAAAGTGGACTTTAAAATGATAAAAACACAGATAATAATGTCATTACATCATTGCAGTACAAAGTAAAAAAAACATATATCCCAACTTACTTGAACTAAATCGAACAATATCCAATATTTTCCATATAAAGCTGAAATTAAACTTTCACAAATTGTTTTTTTAATTAATTATTTTGTCTTCTGATCATCAGTTGGGGTCATTTCCACAGAAGTGACGTACGTTTTGGGCGGGCTGGTGTTTGCCTGGATTGTGGAGGAGTGGGTCTGGGATTACGCCATAACTGTCACACTGCTGCACGTTGTGATGACTGTAGCAGGTAAAAACACATGCGTACACACACACACACACACACACACGCAGGTGGATCAATAGGTTGGAACAGCTGATAGGGTTGCAGTCCTGATCCTGTAAGAAGTAGTACATCAAAGATGTACTGGTAAACTTTTGGGCATGACCAGTTAACATGCTTTCTGCTAAACTAAACTAAACTAAACTATAAGTGTACAAATAATCTAAATGTCTTGTTGCATTTGTGCAGTGATGTCAGACTTCCCTTCAGAGGAGCACTGGTGGATCGCTCTTGGTAAGATTCACGCTTTTTCTTTTTGCATAACAGAAAACTCCTCCTTTCCTTTTGACTTTTATCAGACTTGAAGAACTCACATCCGACACAGCTCCAAGTTCAGCCTCAGACTTTCCATTTTATGATTCATTCCCCCTTTTTTATTTTGCCCTACTGTGGATTCATCACAAATGGGATGCATCACAAACAATGATGAGTCCAGCTAGAGGCAAGAGGTGGAACATCTGGAGAGCTGGTGCAAGGAGAACAACCTTCACATAAATGTGACGAAGACGAAGGACATGGTCATGGACTTCTGAAGGAACAAACACAACAATAACCCCATGAACCTAGGAGGGTCTGTGTGGAAGTGGTCTCCAGCTACAAGTACTTGGGTGTGCACCTGAACAACAATCTCAGATGGGGCAACAACACCACCAGCCTGATCAAGAAAGCTCATCAGAGACTCTACTTCCTCAGGCGGCTGAGACGAGCTGGTCTGGGAAGCTCAGTCCTCACCTCCTTCTACAGGTGTGCAGTGGAGAGCATCTTGTGCTCCAGCATCAACGTGTGGCATGGAGGCTGCACAGCTGCAGAAAGAAAAGCTTTGCAGAGAGTGGTGAAAGCTGCACAGAAGTCTGTTGGAGTCAGTCTCCCCACCATCACAGACATCTACACCGATGCAGGAAGAGGGCCACCTGCATCATGAAGGACCCCACTCACCCAGCACTCACACTTTTTGCCCCGCTCCCCTCAGGCAGGAGGTTAAGGGGAATTAAGTGTAGAACCACTAGACTGAGGAACAGCTTCTACCCTGAGGCTGTTAGACTCATGAATATCTAACCAGAATAATCACTGTTAAAAAAATCACATCATGTTGCTGCTGATCTGTTTCATGTTGCTGCTGATCTGTTTCAATGTTGCTGTGTTCATTCATATTCATATACTCACACAGACTCATGTTCGTGCTGCTGTTGGGTGTATTGTTTTTATGCTATTAGTGCTTAGCATATTTTTAGTTAATGTTTTACTTAGTTCATATCTTAGATCTTATTTCTGTTTTTCTTTTACATTTTATTGTTGGATGTAACTGGGACCCTGTGTACATACTTTTGTTCCACCACATGTGGTGCAAATGACCAATAAAGAAACTCTGACTGATTTAATTTGTGTCTCGGCAGGTTCAGGCTTGGTCATGATGATTTTTGGAGGACAGCTCTTGGCGTACAAACTCTTCAGGAGCAACTTTGTTTATCCTGCTGATCTGCAGAACTTCTAATGAAAACAAGGAGTAAAGCTTTTAACTGGCTTATTGGTTAATCCCAGGTCTCAAACATGCTAGTCGATACGCTTTACATTTCACTTTGAGGTTGTTTCAATGTCTGTTAAGAACACAAACACACACACATGCATGCACACATATTTATTGTGTACATATAACTAAAATGTGTGTATATATATGTATAAATCTGATAAAGTGGATATTTATTTTTATTCTAAACCGACTACTTGCATTAGATAGTTATGCATTCAAGTGTCTAAATCTATTTAAAATCACATTTTACGTATTTATTTACAAATTGTTTTGTATTCTTAATTTATTCAATATGCTTTCAAAACTAATAATAAGAGAAACAGTTAACAGTTGATACAGCTTTACTCTCAGCTGTCTACAGACTGGTACAATGCAGATTTTTCATCACTGATATCATTGTAATGAGGAGCGTATGTGACAGATCTGTGTATAATATAGCAGTCTGATCTAAAATATTACTACATGTTCACAAGTATTGCGAACAAGAATAAAATCTGTTATGTTGTGTGCTTTAAATTATTTCTAGTTTGATTTTCTGGGGTACTTTAAAAAAGATTAACTTCATGAATTATTATTTTTTTCTCAGTATCTGCTAAGTTCTCTTATCTTTTATTATTATGACCACTTGCATCCTGACCATTGTTTGAAATACTGTCATATTTCTATGTTTCATTGCACTGTATCTAAAAAAATAACCACAGTTGTTAACAATGTAGTTTGCCTGACGTTTCCAGAACTGACAGGTAAAATCTGATGACATTAACATTTTGATTCACAGGCGGAAATGCCTAATTTCAAGTTGTTTAAAAAAAACAACAATGGACTGATAATAAATAATAATAATAATAATAATAAATCCCCAAAATAAACTAGGGCATGCGAATTTTATCAAGTGTATTCATGTGCAGATATACCATGACAAATGTTAAAAAATGTGTCAGTGAAATCAGTGAGTTTTGTTATGGAAAAAAAATACAATATTTACCTGTAAGTGGGTGAAATAACGAGTTTAAAGTGCAAACCTGGTTCAGATGTTTGTGGTGCACTTACACATCTGGCCACCAGGTGTCAGCATATTAAATTACACACCAGTGTTTACTGAAGGTGCCATGACTTCAGTGGAGATACATCTGCACTTATGTAGAAAACTGCTTTTAAAGAATTGTTTAATATAGTGTCCATTATACATTCATATTTGTACTGTGACCCCACAATGTGAGACAAAATAACAACAAACAAACAAACCAAAAAAACTTAAGCTTTAAAACATGATATAACTTGTCCCACGGTCTGTAAACGCATCAGGGTGTTGAACTTTTCTCGCCGTGGTGTCAGATCACGTGACGCAATTGGCTCGAAAACTTCGCGCAAATATCGAGTTGACGTCCAGTTTTATTCCAAACAATTAAACAACTCTGTTGGAATACTTTTCCAGTTTGTTGCAATTCATTTGACGCCCGACTGAATGTCATTAAACGGGTTGATAACGAGTTCTGGGAGGATGAGAAACGCGGGAGAGCTGACTCAGGTAGGTCGAACCCAGAAGCTAGCTAGCTCACTTAGCTAAAAGCATTTTTGCTAATTTATTTTATTTTTATTAAAGTTAATTTAAAACAAACATTAAATTACTTCAACTAGGTCAGTGTACCATTCTCAATTAAAAAAAACACTAACCCAACTGGTGTATTAATGTCACTTAAAATGACTCGTTGTCTTTAAAGCATGTTTGTAGAATATATTTTAAAAAGTTAATTAGTTCAAGCTACTAAGCAATGTTTTTACTGTCAAGTTATTTTTCCTTTACTTGTCAGCACATATATTTTACTAATTAACGAGAAAAATACTATTTTAGAAAGTGCTTTCTTGCAAAATTGCACTTTGCAAGTACTTATTTAATAAAGAGCTAAAGTAAACACATTTACTGTAAAGTTATTGGTAAATAACAAAGCTGTAGTCTTTTGATGAGGGAAAAAATGATAAAATAATATCAATAAAAATTAGTTTAAAATAAAAGGAAAACCTGGATCCTGTGCAGCTATTTTCACATTTCACACCATTTAGAAGTCAGATTTTAGAGAAAATATAACTTTTGTTTAAAATGATGACACAGGTTAAGGGTTCATTACTTGTCTATCATTTGAAGCTTTTCTTGTTTTTCCTCCCAAATAAACTTGAAGTAGCTTGAATTAATTTTCTTCGCCTTGTAGAGTCCTTTCCAGCAGCTACGCCAGCAGATGCTCGACATCTTGGGAGACGGAGGGATCCTGAAGGAGGTGGTCCAGTCTGGAGAGGGTCCACCTGTGCCTCAAAATGCTTCAGTATTGAGTATTTATCAGATCAAGCACCTGTTCTGATGCTACTCAGATGATTCAGAATGTTTTCAGAACGTTGTTTTTCCCTTCTGCAGTGTATTACTCTGGTTTCCTGGAGTATTCTGATCAGCCTTTTGATACCACCGCACACCTCAAGTACCCTCGGATGATGAAGTTGGGGAGAGGTAAGAAAGTGATCAAGCGGTTCTTCAGCTCAGTTGGAGGATGATTTGTAAAACGTATCATAACTTAAATAGATCTGACACTAGCTGGATTGGAGCTGGGGCTGTTGACCATGAAGAGAGGAGAGTTCTCTCGTTTCCTCTTCCAGCCACAGTACGCATACGGAGACATGGGCTGTCCTCCGTATATCCCTGCTGCTGCCACTGTTCTGTACGAGGTGCAGATCCTGGACTATTTTGACTCCGCTCAAGTGGATGACTTTTTTACCATGAGTCCGGTAGGTAGGAATGCTACTGCCTGAACATAAATTAGAAACGGACAGAAGTAAATGCTTGCCCATATAAATCGCAAATGAAAAGCATTTATTTTGTCTTCAGGAGGAGCAAAACACCATTCCATTGTCCACACTTCTAGAAGTCGTCAACACTCTGCGCAACTTTGGCAACCGTTGCTTCAATCAGAGCAGATATGAAAATGCCAAAGATCGTTATAAACAAGTACAAAGAAGTTATTAAGCAGTAATTCATTTGATCAAATACTGAGGTGCCATGATGTGATTCTGTGTGTGTGCTAGTGATGATGAGTGTTTTTGTGACCTGTCTGCTTTCCTCCACAGGCAATAACTCTGCTGGAAAACAGAAACCCACGGAGCGTGCCAGAGAAAGAGAAGATCAAGACAGCTCGGCTCCCTCTCTATCTGAACCTTTCTCTCACTGAGCTCCGTCTGGAGAACCCACGCAAAGCCCTCAAATACGGAAACAAAGCCCTGGAGCTAGACGCCGCCAACACAAAGGCTCTTTTCCGCTGTGGGCAGGTCAGACTGGGTTTATCTTTGTAGACTTTCAGATAAAAATCCATCCGGTCTCTGTGGAGCATCAGCTTAAATCTTAACTCTGTCATTTTTTTCCAGTTTTAGGCCTTTTATTAGCTTCTTTTTAGCTTAAACAAAGTCAAGTCAGTCACAGTTGGAGTTTACTTAGACTTGAGTCTTCTCTCCCAGGCTTACCTGGAGCTGTGTGACTATGAGAGCGCTCAGGGTTGCCTCATATCTGCTCAAGCAAAGAAGCCTTTTGATCATGACATCAACAACCTGCTGAAGAAAGTGGCAACGTAAGCTGGTTTAGTGCTGTCAGTGAAGCCAAGTCCTGGTTTCTGTGGCAAACTCAATGCCAAAATATTAGCCTTAAAATCACACCAGTTAAAAAGAAAAATCCTAAAATGTTGTTTTTTTTGTTTATTTAATTGTTCCAGATGTTATAAAGACAGCTTGGACAAAGAAAAATATGTTTACTCCAGGATGTTTAGAGAACTGAGGGACCCAGAGAAGATGTGAGGATCATCTGATGGCGGTGAGGAATCCTGTCCAGTAACTGTTGTCTGTCTGTCTGTCTGTCTGTCTGTCTGTCTGTCTGTCTGTGGTGAATGTATTAAATAAAGTCAGACGATTATTGCTTCACTGTGTTCAGTTTCAGCTTTAAATCTCCATTAAAAGGATTTTATGATGCCCATATTTAACTGAATGCTTTCCACATATCGTTTCACTGAACAATCAGATTAGCAGGTCACAGCTGCAAGAAATTGTTTGCAATTTCTTGAATTTCTTTGCTGAAGACTCCTGAAATTTTGGGATTGGTGAGGTTGGACCCAGATGCAGACAAATATGGAGTGCTCGAGATTAAATAAAAAACTGATTTATTCACAAATGGAAAAAACAAAAGGCTGAGGTGGCAGCAATAAACTTACAGAAAACTCAGGAGCACAAAAACACAGGGAGGACTACAGAGAGCACAGGAGGACAGAGATGTCTGGCAGGTTGTAAAGAACAATGCACCAACGTTGGGGTGGTGATCATGGAAGGTTTTGGAAAAGGCATATGACAGAGTGCTGAGGGAGGAGGTGTGGTATTGCATGAGGAAATCTGGAGTGGCAGAGAAGTATGTTAGACTGGTACAGGACATGTATGAGGACAGCAGGACAGTGGTGAGATGTGCTGTAGGAGTGACAGATAGCTTCAAGTTGGAGGTGGGAGTACATCAAGGATCGGCTCTGAGCCCCTTCTTGTTTGCTCTGGTGATGGACCAACTAGCAGATGAGGTCGGGCAGGAATCCCCATGGACGATGATGTTTGCAGATGACACTGTGATCTATGGTGAGAACAGGGAACAGGTGGAAGAGAAGTTGGAGAAGTGGAGGTATGCACTTGAAAGAAGAGGAATGAAAGTCAGCTGTAGTAAGACAGAGTACGTGTGTGTGAATGAGAGGGAGGAGGTGGAACAGTGAAGCTACAAGGAGCAGAGGTCACAAAGGTGCAGGACTTCAAGTACTCGGGGTCCACTGTCCAGGAAAATGAGGAATGTGGTAAAGAGGTGAAGAAGAGACTCCAGGCTGGATGGAGAAAAGATTCAGGAGTGATTTGTGACAAAAGAGTGTCCGCAAAGGTCAAAGGAAAAGTTTACAAGACAGTGGTGACACCAGCTATATTATATGGTCTGGAGACAGAGACATGGACAAAAAGACAGGAGAAAGAACTGGAAGTGGCAGAAATGAAGATGATGAGTTTCTGCTTAGGAGTGACAATGATGGATAAGATTAAGAATGAGATCATCAGAGGTACAGCACTGGTTGAACAACTGGGAGATAAAGTTAGAGAGACCAGACTGAGATGGTTTGGACATGTCCAGAGGAGGGACAGTGGGTATATTGGTAGAAGGATGTTAGAAATGCAGCTGCCTGGAAAAAGACAAAGAGGAGATCTATGGATGCAGTTAGAGAGAACATGGAGGTAGTTGGAGTGAGGACAGAGTGAGATGGAGGAGGATGACTCGCTGTGGTGACCCTGAAGAGGGAAAAGTCTAAAGAAGAATTCTAACAGCACAACGATTAAAACATATGAGGTCAAATATAACATATTTAATTTGAGTGAAATATAGTAAACCCTTATTTACTATAAAAAAAATTTGAGTTGATCTTTTTATACGTGTTTTAAAACTTTATTTTGATTATAAAGGCAATGGTGTTATTAGTAAATTATAAATGCATTGCACAGTTCTGCCAGTTTAAACAGGATTTTAAGAATGATATAATTTATCGATTATGGCAACATGGTTAATGTAAAAAATTGTAATCAGTTCATCATACAGTCTTGTTAGTTTATGCACGCGTGTTTTCTTGCTGCATTCACATGTTCTATTATTCCACACACATTCAATGACCGCACCTGCAAGATAAAACGAAATAATATTGGTTGAACTGTCATTCAGCTGGATCACTTATTGTACTTGTTGATGCCGTTACACTGTCAGTCACAACCCTCGTGGAACATAAAACTGGTTTACTTAGTGGAGCCAAGAGGCCATTAAAAGAAAAAAACAAGAACCACTGTGGCTCCTTTCATGAGAACTGTGATTTTCTTTATGAGGAAAAAATGGTAATCATTTAAGCAGCATGACCTTAATTTACATGTAAATATTTCGAGCAAGTCCTCTAGGTTTAATGTGTGTCCTTTTTTTCATAAAAATAATTACACCTGTGGTCCACATCAAGCAGCGTCTCACTAAGGAATAAAACTGCAGCATTTGCAGCTACGTTTAATATGTTTCTCCTTTTCTGTCGTTCAGTGTGCAGCTCATATCAGGTAATCGCAGGACCTGACTTTCAAACTCTGACAAGTTAAAGAGACCTTAAGGCAGGGGTTCTCAAACTTCTTGGGTTCAGGGACCCCCCTCATAACCCTCATGGTTTTTAAATAATTTTCTTCAATTTGTCTCTTTAATGCAATGAAAATATTTGTAACATAAATACTTGAGACCTGTTTTTGAATAATGTCAGTACAATTGTTATACATTTAAACACGGGGTATTTTTCATTCAAGACGCACTTAATTAACATTTTAATTTCTTTCCAAAAATTACAGTTTCGAGAAAATTAACAGGATCAAAAAGCACTTTAAAACTTTACCTGTTCACATAATGAACATAATAAATGGATTTGACACTTTTTTCAAATTATCACAGAAACTCTTTACATAAAACTGAACAGAATCATAACAGCAGTAGTCAGACCAAGCAACAGGGCTTCATTTGTAAACGGACCGATGCTGGAATGCAAATAAAGGGCGGAGTGGGTGTCTGGGGGTCCTCCCCTAGAAATTTTTGAATAAAGTACATGTGATTTCCTGCATTTCAGTGTATTTTACTTTACTTTAAACTTTATTGTCATTGCCATAATAACAACAGTTATGAACAGCAACGAAATTTTGATTTGAGAATCGTACTTCTACACATTAGTGAATTAGCACATAGTGGAACTTTGCAAGGTTCTGATGATCAATGTAAACACAGATAATGATACAGCATCTAAGGTCAAGATAGAAGAAGGGAAAACTGTAAACAGCCAGATGTTGAAGGGTAGTAATTGGTTGCTGCAGCAATGCAATATCCATTTCACAGTTATTGTCATGATGAGATTGGAGATGTAAAGATAGTGGGCGGGGTCACAGAGAGATGCTGTTCATTTAACGGTCTCACAGCCTGTGGGTACACACTGTGAGCCATTCTGGTGGTTCTGGCACCTGTGGACGGGTACCTTCTGTCTGAGGGGAGCAGGTGGAAAAGGCCATGTGCAGGATGGTACCTGTCCCGTAGGATGTTGTTGACTCGTCTCAGACAGCAGGTTGTATAGATGGTTCTGATCTCCAGGAGGGTCATCCCGATGATCTTCCTGGCTGTTTTAACCACCTGCTGAAGAGCCTGCTGCTCTGCCTTAGTGTGGCAGCTAGAGAACCACACTAGGAATCCATAGGTTAATATAACGGGTTCTTAAACATCTACGTGCTTGTGTGTGTGTGTATGTGTATATATATATATATATATATATATATATATACATAATTTCGCTCCACCACATGTACCACATGAGGTGCGAATGACAATAAAGAGACTCTGATAGATAGATAGATAGATAGATAGATAGATAGATAGATAGATAGATTCTTATAGATTTAATGACATTGTCTCCACATTTGAAGTTTCTGAAAAAAGACTTTTTTTTATTTTTTATAACATATTTGGAATATTTTCTCACAATTTTCCTCTTGATAGATCTCCTTTAGACTGATTAGATCAGAAAATATTTAAGCTAAATTAAGCAATAATGTTTCACTCTGAAAACTGACAGAGCTGTAGTATCACGTGAACATTCTAGTGAGGCTGACCTTAAACAACTTTGTTTTTTTTTTTGTCTTGCAGGATTCAAGATTTGTTTTTCTTTCCCTGTCTGACGCTCTCCAAAGCAGTTTTCACTCCTGTTATAAAACATTCATGTGTTTTTCATTTCTAAAGAAGCTGAATATTTTTGTTAGCCTACTCTTTGATAATGATGTTCAGATTATTTTCTGTTGTGTGTGTTCGCTGGAGCTCAACTTTGACTTGGTCTCCAGTTGAAGTTTTGGTCATTAAATTGAAGCTTTTCCTCTGAGGAGTCTTTGTTTTGTTTTGTTGATGATGGAGTAAAAAAAAAAAGTGAATTTTTCATCTTCAAAGGTAAATATTTGCTGGTGCACTCTGTAGGGACAAGTAGACTAAATTTCTGCTTCTTAGTTTGTAAAATACCACAGTCACATAGATCTTTGACTCTTTGTATGACTGAACATCTTAAAACAGAATTTCGAGCTTATTTTAAGGAATTCAAACACTGTCTTGAGTGACATGGACTTTATGCTTTAATAACCCTGTAGTGTTTGTATGTAACGTTGAAAAGACAACACCACTGTTCCTACCACGAGTAGAGTGGTATTATTTTAAATGAACGTTGATCTTGAAGGATCCAGAGAATTTCTGTTGACTTCCAGGTTCTTTCTTGTAAAGCTCAATGGTGCCATTTTTTCTCCTTCCGTCTGAATGTAGACGGCCATCTTCATGATCTGTGCTTCCTGCTGTCTCGCTAATACATCTGTCTAGTTTCTGTAGCCCAAACACGGTTCTCAGTCCAAATTAAATTTGCTTTAACTGCATGTTTGGACTCTTGAAACAGTGTTCAAATCCAGAAATCACTTTTGGAGTCAGACTTCCCATTTGCGTAATTGATAAAATAAAAAATGAATGAATAGAGAATTGATCGTGTTAAAGAAGCCTAATACCTAAAGCCATTTTTCTGTTTGGATCTGAACCTTCGAATTGAAGCTCAGGAACATCATCTTACATGAATAGGGGAGAGGGCGGGCCCCAGAAACCAGCTTATCACCATGAAACTGGTTGGTTCGCTATGAGAGTTCACTATGAGCTTGTGGGACTCAAGTTTGTGGCTTCTTGGATTGATGAAATCCTTTGGATGAAGGACAAAACGTCTCAACAAAAAAAGAAACTGTCCAGATGAACTGACTGAACTTTGTTTCCTGAACGTGTTTGTGATGAACATGGTGTTATATAAATATTTTGGGTTAATGACCTAATTTTCTTGTTCTAGAAGTTGCTTTACAGTGTCTGTCTTGTTCATGCAGTCACATAAACACCTAACTTACCAGCAGACAATAGTCCCTCGTTTATCACGGGGGATCCGTACCCTGAAGCCCCTCAATATGTGAAAAACCATGATGTAGGAATAGTAGAACAGTAGTAGT